TCAGTGAATGAGTCATTCCAACTTAACCTTTATCGGACGAACATCATCATATGATGTCGTTAAAAGTTAGGGCAGCTGGCCGAACGTCATCATATGATGTCGCGGATTCCACGCGTGTAAGGTTTTTTTTTTAAATTAAATTAAAAATATAAATTGTTGTTCTATTTACATGATTTTTGGTCACCACCTTTATAAGGAGACAGCCTTCCTTCCTGCATGATCTAATGTACTCTAGCGACGTCATATGACGTTAAAAGTAAGGACAAATTGCCGAACGACATCATATGATGTCGTGCATTCCAGGCGTGTAAAGATTTTTTTTAAATTAAATTTAAAATTAAATTTTTGCTCTACTTATGTGATATATGTTCACCATCTTCATGAGAAAACAGCCTTCCCTCCTGCGTCATCTATGGTAATGTGGCCTTCGCATGGTACTGCCGAAAACATTCCGAAATGCAGAGTCCGACGTCACAGCTCACGCACTTCGTATGAACGCTAGACCGCTTCCCACGCGAAGAGCACACACAACACCTCAGTTGCGATTTAGAGGAAGCAGGCCAGTGATGTCGAGCTGCAGTGATATTCATCCCCGCAGGTACACCGGAATAATTATTCACACCTCTCCAGCCACACTGGTCTGGCAGTCCCCAAGTTGCCGATGAAGGTGATGACCCCTCGTCCACGGAATCAGAACTCCAACTTTCCTCGCCACTCTCATAATCGGTTGAATAGCAGTCCGAATCTGTGTCATTGAACAGCTGTTTCTCAATTTCAGCATCACAACTCCAACTTTCCTCGCCACTCTCAGAATCGGTTGAATAGCAGTCCGAATCTGTGTCATTGAACAGCTGTTTCTCAATTTCAGCATCTTCCATACGACGTCGTCATGTGGCCATGGTGAAGTATACAGCTCTCTAGCAGTGAATCTCTGTGCTTAGACCACGATAAGAAGCCATAAATCATAACCTCAAGCCCACACATACAAAAATCTCATTCACGTCTTGGCCGAACCCAATATCTGCTTCAAACATGCTACATGATGTCATGGGTGGCTAACCTTATATTGCAATGTTTCAAAATCGTTACAAACACAATGGTTTGACTGCAATGAACGAATGACCGATCTGGCAACACCATATACTGAGAATGTACTCCTGTCTCTTTCTAACATATTACATAGCGAGCGATTTCAGACGCCTACAGTATGGAATACCGACATGTCCCATACGATAAATAAGTTTCAACAAGAGATACCATTGAATGTGAAGTCGCCACAAGGACTTACACTGCTAGAACGCATGGTGCAGAAAATGTATGAATTTCAGGAATTTTTTTTTTTTGGAATGAGTGTAAAAAATTTTTACAGATATTAAAATTTGTAAATTAGAATATCTGATTCTATATTCTTTCTACATTAAAGGAGCGTTCATTTCGTTCGTTTATCATAAAAATGTAGAAATCACACCATTTTTAGAAACATGCTTACAATTTCATTGCTCTAGAAGGGTGGGCATTTAAATAAACTCCGTCCAGCTGCCCCTACCAGAAATTAAATGGCCCGTCCGATAAAGGTTAATAATATTGTACTGTATCATATGCCATTCATGGGTATGGATGTTCATATTGTAACGTGTCGCGAATCCAGAAGAGTCACTTCTATGGAAACGCTAGAATAGACCATTGCATAGGAAACAACAATCTCTACTGTAGTTCTAACAGGAGTCTCCATGGTTATAACAAAGGGGTCGTTGCATAGCAGCGACCAAGGTTATATAGCGGGGTTGAACGCATTCGCGCAGAGTCTTCATCCAGCCTTCGAAGAAGAGAGTCTTGATCCAGCCTTCGAAGAAGTGAGTCTTTGTCCAGCTGCCGCAGAAGAGAGTCTGCTGTAAACCGCCAGAGAAGGCAGTCCAGTATCGCCGAGATAATGTAAGCAGTAATTGTAACATTGCAAGTGGAAATGATTGTAAAGTGTGTGTAAGGCGAGCGAACACAATAAATTCGCTATATCGGACAACGGCGTGAATTCATTTGTAGCGTGACACACAAGACACGCTACAATATGTTGAACACTTGTATATACAGGACCAAATGTATTATTTCATATGGGCTACCAGACAGGACACAGGTAAGTGGTACTTCATACTTCATAAAGAAATACAATTGTACTTACATTTTCTGTACTAGGGTCAAAAGTATTAAGATATTTCTCTATTACTCTTCTTGCTGATTCAGATGTTGAGGCCTGTACTGTTGCAATGGTAAGGCTGTAATAACGAAGTTCAGGTTCTTGAAGAAACTCTTGCAAGAATGTCCAGTTAAGTGGGGGAAGGGTCCTTGGAAAATTGTGACTTAGTATTCTTAGACACTGCCTAGCTACTGGGATTTTTGAAGGTTCTGGAGTTATCTGGGATGATCTCTGCAGATAGTCAATAATGGCACGACATATGCTATGATGATGAAGGCAAGAGTAATTAGGTGGCTCTCCTCGTGCACCAGCTGTTCGGTTTATTCCACTTCGAAAAAACGTCAGTTCAACACTGAGCCACTCTGCCAACATGTCACCAGCTGCATCCAGAGCGCTGGGCTCCAAGTTCTGCAGCATTTGGATCCAGCATTCACCTAAATATAATTAAGTTTCCTTGTTAGTATACAAACACTTCATACATTCTTGAAAATAACCAGAACTGTTATGCCACATTCATTCTTTGCAAGCTACATTCACAGTATGAAACAAAATTGGATCTATTGATATACCATTTAACCTTTAACGTACGGACTTTTAAATTGCCTGCAGCTCCCTANGTACCATTTAAATCTATTGTACCTTGATAACTAGCAGTCTAGATATGTTAAACATGTTTTATACTAAATTTCAGTGTTTCATAGTATGAGGAATCACGTCAATATAGTGTCCCCTAGATTAAATGAATTGATTCAAAGCTCACTGAAAAATAAGACATTATTCATCTTTTGTTGTTTGGGCACTGCACTCTATGATAGAACATACACAGGTCCAGTCTTCAGTACAAATACAATTGTTACCACGTGAAAATCCAGATGCCAGTGCTATAGACACAGGAGGCTTAAATCCCCTTTTTGTAGACAAGGGTAAGTCTGAGGCACTATACATAAAACAATTTGGTTGCTACATACACAGAACTGATAACAATAACAGCAACCTTTCTAAATTTATTTAATTTTGAGTCATACTCTTTGATACACAAAATATTTTGAATATTACCTGGAATATAAGTAAGAACATCTTCAGGTTTTCGTGCAGCATCTACAGGTGTCTTAGCATAGGAAGCTGGAAGTTTCAATTTCTGCCGATAACATTCAGGCAATGTTTTCAGACTCATCTTTCCCATGTCCGCCTTTGACAGTACACTGAAGTAGTAAAAATGACATATAACTGATTTAAAAAAAACTAACTACATGGTATGGGGGGTTTTCCTTGAGCAATTAGTAATCATTTAAACAATCAAAATAGCCCTGACTTTATGAAACTTAAAGACTCATCACCTTGTTCACAAATGTTTGGCACTGAACCCTGTCCTGAGTCAACTGAGCCCTGTTCACATCTTTCTCTCTCTTTAAGATCCATTTTTAAATTCTGTCAGTTTTAGCAAAAGCTTTCAATCACACATTCACTAACAGGGCATGTTTAACTCTATGGTGATGCATCAAGATATGACCAGAAATCTGACTGCTCTGGTATTTGTTCTTGTGATTTTTTAATGCTTCTCAAAAAAAATCCAAGTAACCACCACAGAACACAGTTTCTTCCCCTAATATCCCTCCAAATTAAGTATGTAATTTTATACATTAGATATGCAGTTCTCACAGAACTGTTAACGAACTGCATCACTTACTAACCCTGCCAATGCCTAAGAATTTTTAGCTTCTGTTTCCTGGAACCCATGTACAATAATCCTTTATTGTCTTAGATATTTTCCTAGGTACAAATTATTACTTGGTGACCTCTTTAGAAAGCTACAGGACTGCTTTGCATGCATTTCTCACAGGATGTATACAAGATTTACTGATTACTTCATTGTGTGCATGCAATGACCCATAAACATTTCGTAAAGAACTGATTAGGTCCAAATAGCAATTACTACTTTTGCAACCTACAGTTCTTTCAGTTACTATAGTACACCTGCTATCTTTAAAAATTACAGGCCTTATGTAACACTGATACTGATGACAGTGACAGAATAGGAAAGGAAATGACAAGTGAATGGAAGAGGGAATGAAGAATTCCTGTGGAAATTTAGGTTTACCTCATAAATTGATACACACATGTTGACAGGTTCATTATAAAAGGGGTGATATGACAGTAGTTTATAACCAGAAGCTTGCACCAGCAAAGGCTGATATGTTAAAAAAATGTTGAAACTTAAAATTACTTTGTATAAAATATCCACACATTTTGTGAATTGAATCTTCTCATTTTTTTAGGTAACAATTTATTTCATTTTGGCATCTTCAGTGGCATAGACTGCTGAAAGCAACACACAACCACCCATGGATGAATGCAAATCACGATAAGTAATTCTTAATTTGTCTGTCTGTGACTTGACACCCAGGCACACAGTAAACACCTGCTTCAACATTTCCTACATATCAATCTACGATTTTTAACTAATTATTCTGTTACACTTAAATTGAACAAAAATAAATTTCTCCAGTCTCCTTCAAATTTTACCACAAAAACAATGGGGCTCACTGCATCAATCATTGAATCAGACCATCTATAAAAAATATAAATGCCAGTGAATAATCTGAACTTTCTGTGTGACAGGTTTTTTTTATTGCTAGCGGGGTGGGACTAAGTCCCTTGTACTGTGGCCACTTCTGGCCTATTGTACCAGCCCCAGATGATAGGTGAGGGTGATTGTGGAGCATTGGAGGAATGAAGATTGGCAGGGGAAACCGAAGTACTTGGAGAAAACCTGCCCCAGCACCACTTTGTCCACCACAAATCCAACTTGACCAGACTCAGGATCGAACCCGGGCTGTCGCAGTGTGAAGCCAGTGACTAACCGCTAATGGAAAGGGTTCCAACCATGAAACCAGTGCATTTGCACATGTTAATGATTTTACAGAATGCTACAAACAAAAACAGTGATGGCATAACTACACCCATATGATGGAAGCTGAGATGATGATGAAACAAAAATAAAAATTATGTAACAAAATGCAACAAAACATATATTCTGAGTCAAATTTAACAGGCAGTAGTGTAAATATGGGAAATTGATATCAAAGAACCAAAGTAGTAATAATACTGTGCAAAATACTTATAGGAACTGTTTTCAAAGTATTTGAAGTAACAAAGTAAGAGGAAAAAACTAGCCATGTAATTGTACATGAAAATTGTTTGATCATGGTTACAGAATAAATATGACAAAAAAAGAAGCTTTTACATAAATTTAATGTTCCAGTATTTACATACTTCAGTGCTGCAGAAAGGACTTCCACATCCTTATTTGCCGACACGTAACTCCATAGCTTAATAACAACTTCTGAAACCAGTTTGTCATATTCTTGTCCTGAACACTGCATGCTCAGAACACAGCCAAAGAAGTTACAAAGACTGAAATTACATCAGCAGCTATTAGACCAACATAAACTGAACAATATGCATTAATATTGATGTAGTCCTTCGTAGTCCTTAATTTAAGAGCATTCTATATTCCAGTGAATATGATTACTTTATTGATAACTGAGCTGAAAGATATATGCAAACTAATTCACTGCCAGTAAAACCCAAGCTTCAATACTGTTAACGCCACAGCTTATCATTGGATAAAATCCTAAAACTAGTTCCAGCCCCCTACTGTCCTCACAGCCTAACTCCCTGAGACTGATCTTCATGTTATCCTCCAATCTCCTCAGTCTTCCAAGTGACAACTTCTCAAGACGTTTCCCCATAAAAACTGTGTATGAATTTGATTTCCACATCTGAGCTACATGTCTAGTCCATTATAAGACCCCTGGTTTTACCAACCTAACAATGCTAAGTGAAGAAATGTATATGTTACCCACCTCAATTTCCACTTTTCTGATTTCATCACTCTCACCACCTGAAATGCCAATTTTCAGGCATACCTTACAGCCTGAGAATCATTCAACACAGGATGCCTTCTTTCATGTTACCTTTTAATTACAACTGGTCTCTTGTCTCTTGATAACCGTGGTGCAAGGGCTCTCCATGTAGTGGCAATATTGACAATCTCTGCATTGCAAAGAGATGTAATTCCCTGAAGGGCCAAAGCAGAAGACTGTCCATCCTGTTCACTTGCACACTGATTCAGAATCTGAGACAACAGCTTCACCAATTCTGGACCATGCTGCTCAGGCCTGGAAAAAATGAATACAGTCATTTATATTTTTCTTTATCAGTTCAAGAGAGACAGAGTGAAATAACAAAAGAAAAAAAAAACTGAGTCACAATAGCCAGTAATTCTGCTGATGTTTGAGCTGAGTACCTCCCAGATAAAAGTCTAGATCAACCAACCTGCTTGGTAAAATCATAATAAACGTTTCTGATTACCCATATATTCACACAGATGTATACTACTAACCCACAGCAATGTGCAGAATCCAGACATATGACTTGCATATCCCCAAATTTATGTTAAACTTCTTAAAATACAGCTTTATGCTCATTTTAATAACAAATGCATATTCAATTTTGGCCCATAATTCCATCCTACCGCAACAACGGAAGTATTGGAAACAAAGAGTTGAGGCAGCTTCATCAATTCAGGAATTAAACATTTACAAGCCATAAACATTTAAAACATAATGCAGAAATATTACCGAATTTCACAGATTTCTTTAATAGCAAGAGCTCTAGTCATGTCAAATTTCCATTCTTTTCCATATATTGGGTCCTCCATGAGCAGTTTCTGCAAGTAAGGGTAACAGCGACATTCCACTTTCCAAAGTCGCACATACAAATCAACAAGCAATGTCTTCATACTGTGTTTATTCCTCAGTAATTCAAGAGTATGTAGAATTAGATTCACATTCTCCTATAAAAAGAATACTCGGTTACAGTACACACTTGGGGATCTACTTCCCACACTCACAGTCCAATCACAACATCCAATATTGAAACAATACAAAACACAAGCTTCAAGAAGCTCTTCAAAATAAGCATGTATCACAAAAATGATGACAGCTGACAACAAAGAGACTACTGCTGCCAGATAAACGTACCAGAACAATTAGTATTACAAGTAACTAGTGTAAGCAGCACTGTACCAGTACACTAAAGTTACCATAGTCCTACATAGTACCACTACAACTGTAATGCACAAAGAGACAAACACAAATTCTTAAATTTAAATATTTATAACTGTGCTGCAATTATTCCTATGAAATGTAAATATTTCCTTTCATAGTACAGAAGTAAACTACTTAAATTTGTCTACTTGTCTGCAGTATGTTTAAAATTTCAGTAAAGTAAAAAAAGTAAAAAGTAAAACTATCCCTGCAACAGGCCATGAAGGCCCATAGGGCTGTGAGACATTGAGGGTCCCACATTGTCTAGACAATCGGTTCAAAGATGGCAGTAAGGTTGTCAGCCTTACGCGCCAGCTGCGCTTTACTCCCCAGGAAAATTATTTAATTAATTCCTGGTACTCATTTCTGTTAGAGGCTAAGTCAACCCCAGGCCCATAGTGTGGCTGGAAGAATTAGGTCAATTGAAAAAATCTAATGACCTCATAAAAACATTATTTAAATCATGTTTTATAGATAATGAATTGGAGAAAAGTTTGTAACAAGGGGATTCATAACTTATATTCTTTACCTAGTACTGGCAATTCAACTGAGAATTAGTTTTGCTGGACTGGTACGGCATATGGAGTGAACAAGAAATGCACATAAAATACTGTTTGGAAAGTTTCATTTAAGAACTCACTTGAACCTAGATACAGATAGGATATTATTAAACTGGGTCTTAAGAAAAACAGGCTAAGAAGGTGCAAACTGGATGGGGTTCAACAGGATAGGAAGACCTAGCACCATGGACCAAAAGCGTGATTTCAATTAAAAGCTATATTTAAATTACAGGAATTGACTAATTTAAATATTTATAATAAAAATTTGAAAAGGAATGAGGAAACTATGACTAGTGCCACTAATAGCAAGGATATCTTCATAGTGCAAAAAAAGAATTATAAGGAGTATTATGAATGTAAATTCTAGAGCCTCTTGTCGGGAATTTTTTAAATATTTAAACATATTGCCTTTTTATTCTCGATATATACATTCGCTTTTGCTGCTGGTGAAAAATATAAATCTGTTTGCACCAAATGCTGAAATACATGTCATAAATACACGACAAAGTACCAGCTTACACGTGCCATTGATAAATTTGGCCAAATATAAGAATAGTGTGTTGTATGGGTATTATAATATTTAATAATCTGCCACCTAATTTATGAAAATTATCAAGTGATTTTAAAAAATTTAAGTTAGCTATAAACAATTTTCTCTTAAATCAATCATTTTATTCGATAAATTAATACTTGGCGTGGTCAAAAGAAAGGAAATAAAATACAGGTGAATATTTGTTTTATTTAGATACACTTATGTGTAGTAGTTTTTGTAGACTTTGTATAAATGTATGTATACTTTTATCATCAATTGCTTATAATGTCCATATTTTAGTTATTATTGATTTATTATACTAAGCATTGACTAAGTTGTATTATTGCAACTGTTTTATTACAGTAAATCTTACTATTTGGGACTGCTTTTACAACTGTGGTGATTGTGTCACCTGTACGTTTTCCTTGAAGTAATAAAGATATTATTATTACTATTACTATTGAATAAATTTTGACTGACATGTGGAAGTAATAACTGCAAGTAATTCAGTTAACTGCAGTAACTCAGCAAGTACTCAAAAGTAATTCCACATCTGTAATTGAGTTCTGTAAGGTTTAAGCCGATATGTTCACTGGTACAAAGCATGCCTATTTCTCTTAAGAATACCAGCATTGTTATCACCATGAATGTCAATTCAGATCATAATTCTTTAAAAAATATTCACCTTCTGTACAGCCATTTTTGTTAGTCCTCTTAAAAGTTCCAGCTGTATAAATGGTTCTTTTTCTTTTGCTAGCTGGTACAGGATAAGAGTCATGACAGTAGCAGCAAAATCATTATTATTCTCCACAATTTTCAGCAGCAATTTGAAACTTTCTTGCTTTACTTCATTCTTGTCAAAGTTGTGAACAAATAATGCTGACATAAACAGCTGTAGGTGTTCATTAATAACTTCAGGAACCTTTTTTATTCTTTCCAGCCAAATGAGAACAATTGCTGGATTGCTCTGCCATGTTTCAGCCAATCTGCACATTTCTATTGCAGTACCAACCAGACTGTCAGTATTCCACAGATGGTTGAAGAGTCTGTTTGCAAAGATTCGGCCTGTGGAAGATGACCATGAAGTAGTAGTGTTCACCCAAGTAAGGATACTGGTGGTTGTTTGCAGAGCTTCTCCAGTCAAACAAGAAGGATAAATTAACCACTGCAGCACTGCACACACAAACATCTTGGTAGATATAGCATTACATATCTTCAGCTCTACAAGTGATGTGCCTGCAACATTATCGAATATAAATTACACAGTGAAGTACATAAATATGGAATGAAACTATGTTTCTATGAGACACTGTAATTGCATATATATTGTATCTATATAAATAAAAACGTAAATCCTCATCTGTTGTGTCTTGAGGTTATTTAAATTAATTTAAATCATCTGGTACTGAGGAATTAAAACTTTGTAACAGACAACATTTTACAATAAAATCATAATCCCATTCACATATATGACTGACCATCTCTGTCAACTGTTCATGATTCTTTATTCAGCATGTAACTGCACCAACCCCATAATCTCCTAATGCTTGTAACCCAGAAACACACTACATTGTGGTAATATGGAATTAAGTACTGGATAAAGGCATTCTACAAAATGTATGACACAAACTCCATCCTAAGTGCAACAAGTTATTGTAGTTCTTTTGTCTTCTTTTCTTCTACTTTACATGTTTCGGCCAAAAATGGCCATCATCAGGTGTATTTCTCTCACGTAGCTGTTACACTACATGTAGTTTAAAATTTAAAAACACCAGGTTTCTTAATTGTTCATTTCTCTGTTGTTAATAGGTTGCAATATATCAGAATTCCCTTGCTGATATTTGTCAGATATGTATAAAATCTTTGATTTACACACATCAATTTGATTTTTGAATTTTGGTATTTTTAAAAGCTTCAATTTAAATTTAAAATTTTTTAAATTTTAAAATCTAAAATTTACAGGGATACCTACTCTAGGTCTACAGTGCTGCAGCGATTACTTCTTGCTTTCAGCTCCCTGTGTGCATGCCGCTGCTTATCTTTAATATGTGTCTAATTTTAAATTCTAAAAACTCTTAAATTGAAATTGAAGATTTTAAAAATACCAAAATTCAAAAATCAAACTGACGTGTGTAAATTAACAAAGATTTTATACATATCTGACAAATATCAGCAAGGGAATTCTGATATATTGGGACCTATTAAAAATGGAGAAATGAACAATTAAGAAAGCTGGTGTCTTTAAATTTTAAACTACGGTCAGCGTAACAGATACGTGAGAGAAATACACCTGATGATGGCCATTTTTGGCCGAAACATGTAGTGTAGAAGAAAAGAAGACAAAAGAAGTACAATAAATTGTTGCACTTAGGATGGTGTTTGTGTCATGCATTGTATAGAGTGTAACAGGATGCTTAAATATAATATGGCATCCTACAACTTTAAAATATGATGTATCAAAGTTTTCATATTATGGAAAACCTGAGAAGTGAAAAAGAATAACTTACAAAAGATGACTAGATCCTTCAAATAGATTACAGGACATAAGATGATAGTTTTGGCAAGAAGCATCATGATACAGCTGCCTGTCTCAGGGCTTACAGCCAGAAGATGAGTAAGGGCTGATAAACAGGATCGAGGATCATGACCATGATGTATCAGTCGGTGGATTAATGATGCTGTGAAAGGCGCTAGTACAGTACACAGAGGTGAGTCTTCATTCTGTAAAGCAAATTCTACTAGCACCAGGAACATATGGCTTGTGCTCAGTATCTCTGTCTCAGATTCAACCTGCAATGACATCATTTGTATGAAAAGGTACATAGAATGTATGTTTTAATAACTATCACAGGGTGTATAGAGAATATGGAAGTGCACAGATAGTGGAACAACACACTCAGCACATCAAAGATAAGTCATGTTCACTGGCAAAATAAGCAAAAAAAAAAAAAGTAAAGCTATCCCTGTAACAGGCTGTGAAGGCCCACAGGGTTGTGAGACTTTAAAGGTCCCACATTACCTTGACAATCAGCTCAGAGATGGCGGTATGGTTGTCAGCCTTATGCGCCGGCCGCGCTTCATTCCCCAGGAAAATCATTTAATTAATTCCTGGTACTCATTTCTGTTAGAGGCTGAGTAAACCCCAGGGCCTAGTGCGGCCGGAAGGATTAGGCCAACTGAAAAAAATCCAATGACCTCATCGGGACTTGAACCCGCAACCTTCCTGCTTGTAGCATAGTACCTTAACCGCTACGCTACTGCGTACCCCCAGCCCCATGTTCACTGGTAACAGCTGATATAATATCAAAATTTTTGTGAATAAGAATATATGTAAACAGGGTGATACACCAGGCATGTCCAACTTCAAACAGGTTGTGATCGACTTTTTAGTGTCAAAACTGCCCCTCCTATCGTCGTACCTCGCTTTAAGCAAGAATACTGGTAAAAATAACATGACACATGATGTTTGTTGTAAAAGCAATATACATTTAAAGTGCACTCTTACCTTGTTCGTTAGTGAGACGTCTGGGCCTGCATTTCATCCACCAGCTGTTGGAAGTCAGGCAAGTACTGGGTGAGGGCCAGTTTAAGGCAATCCTGGAGATGTTAATCTGTCATGTAAGATTTGAGGTTTTCACGGCGGTGACTATGAAGAAAGCAATCTTCTGGGATGTGGCTGTGTAGATGTGGTGTTAACCGACGTTTCGGAGGAACGTATTGCCTCCATCTTCAGGGTAGAAGGAAAAATAAAATCCACAAGCCAAGAGACAGTGAGAACAGGTGCAAGCAGACTAACGTTGGGAGGGGGGAAAAAAAACAAAAACAAAAACAACAACAACAACAACATTAACAACATTAGTCTGCTTGCACCTGTTCTCACTCTCTTTGCTTGTGGATTTTATTTTTCCTTCTACTCTGAAAATGGGAGGTGATATGTTCCTCCAAAACATCGGTTAACACATCTACATGGTGCCACATCCCAGAAGACTGCTTTCTTAATCTATCATGTTGGATGTTGTTTACTCTGTCATTTTTAGGTAAGAAAAAGCAGATTCACACAAACAAGTTGAACCAAAACAGGAGTGTACAATTTCACTGCATCTTCTTAAGTTGCGAAATTTGTGTCCATGCACTAACTTCCAAAACGATTCTTGTCCAGCACGAGTCTTGAGAAAAATGTCATTTTTAAGGGTTAATATGTAGGACATTTCAGAAATAATGCACACAATTCTTTGTTTACATCCATGTTTATTTTTTTTTTTAATATCTCTTTACAGTCCTTCAATATAGTTCCTCTGCTTCTCAATGACCGAGTCCCAACGTGAGGGAAGCTTTACTATTCCATCCAAGACACCATCTTTGTTTATCTGTCAAATAGCTCGGATACTGAAGCAGAAAGCTCTTCCAGAGAGGGAAAAGCAGCCTCGTGTAGGTTGTTTCAACTTTGGGAATAAGTTGAAGTCTGGTGGACTCATGTCCAGGCTGTAGGGAGCATGAGGCAACACCTCCCAGCCCTATTGGCGCAGCTTTTCTGTTACGACATTCGCAATGTGCGGGCGAGCGTCGTCATGGAGAATGATTGGCCCAGCCTCGAGCAACTGAGGTCAGTTTCTGTGCATTTTTCTGCACAGATTTTGCATAAAGTCATGATAATATACTGCTGTGACACTGTTCCTGCATGGAACTCTGTCTGTCATCATGATTCCTTGGTGATCATAAGCAAAGATCATCATTTGTTTGACCTTTGATTGAGATCGTGAAAATTTTTTTGGTCGTGGGGAACATGGACCTCTCCACTCGTTGGACTGTGATTTCAGGTCCTGTTCAAAGTCTCTAACCCACGTTTCATCAATAGCGACAAGTCAATTCAAGAATGCTTGACCTTCAACATCGAATCTTTGTTCGAGCAAGGTTGCAATGTCGAGGCATTTCTGCTTCTGTTCAGCAGTCAAGCAGTGAGGGACCCATCGTGCAGAAATCTTTCTCTTCTTCAAATCATTTGTCAGAATTCTGAATATTGATGTTGGTGGAATCCCCGTGGTTTCAGAAAGTTCCTCACGTCTCACGACGATCTTTTTCAAGAACATCTGACACAAGTTTCACACTTCGTTCATCTGTTGATGTTTTCGGCCTTTCTGGCTTTGGATCATCGTTTATGCTCACATGACTGCCACGAAAACGACTAGCCCAGCGAGAAACTGTACTATGGTCCATAGTTAACTTGCCACAAACTTCACTTAAAGCACTGTGGATTTCTGTTCGGTTTTTTCCATGTAAAGTTTCGATCTTAATGTACGACCTTTGGTCTTCAACAGTCACAATACCTGAGACCCATGCAGGCTCCATTTCTAACTCATGTTATTTAAGAACAGAGTACATTATAAATGAAACAAAATAACACGCTTCTTTCTCAAGCCCTGAACTGTAACTGAAGTGAGGCTCACTGTTGTTGCGTCATCTAATCCGCAGTGTTGCCAACTTGTGCGTTATTTATGAAATGACCCACGTATCTCATTTTCAAGAGATGCCTTGCTCAATGGGAAATTTTCACAGATAGCAGCTGCAGTTTTTTAATCTTTAAATCTGACTTGAATGGGAATGACAAGTACCCTAAAACTGTTCTAATTTATTGGAAGTCGCAGAATCTATTTCCAAAATCTTGGCTGGCAGAACAGATTTCAGTTACGTACTTCTCTGTCTGAAAAGCAAAATTAGGATATTTTTCCTGATGGTCCTGCATATTAGGAAAGTGATCAAAAGTATTGTTTCTAAGGCCAGTCATCATTAGCTTGAATTTGCTTTTGTAGGATGAAACTGCACTCATCATCTCAGCAATGCATTTGGTTTTACCTTGTAGTTCAAGGTTCATATCACTTAGTACCTGTAAAATCAGCGAGAAATGTCAGCTCAAATAACCACATCTTGTCTTCTAACTCTGCTTTCTCATCTCCCCTGTCCTTCAAAAAAACTGTTTATTTCACTCAGCAAACTACGAAATCTCTGCAAAAATTTGTACCTACTCAGTCACCTTACATCTGTGTGCAAAATGATATCTGGTGTCCCTTCCTCATGAGTTAGATTGAAAAGCCCTCTTTGAAGTGGTTTTCCATGAATTGAATTTACAATTTTAAAAGCTATGTCCATAACAGTCTTGAGTCTCTTGCTTGCCAAAACTTGCTGGTGAATGAAGCAGTGGTAAGAAAGGAAATCAGGGAGGTCATCATGCTGTCTACAGAGGGCAATAAGACCATTAACCTGACCTGTCATTGATTTTGCCCCATCAGTAGTAATGGAAACAAGTTTATGTAATGGAACATTAGACTTTGTGACAAAAGAATAGAAAGAATTAAATATTTCCTGACCTGTAGTTCTCCCTTTTAAAGAAATCATTCCAAGTAGTTCTTCTTTGACACTGAAATCTTCAAAAACCATACAAACTAGTAACTGGTCTGTGTCTCTGATGTCTGTAGATTCATTCAGTTGGAGGGAGAAAGAAACACGATTGGAAACATCTTTCAGCAACTGTTCAGTTATGTTTCCACACATCATTTCTATTCGCCGCACAACGGTGTTTCTTGATAACCGAAGATTTTGAATAGTAGCTATGATCTCTTTATTTTTAAATCCTTCAAAAAGATTATCAGCTATTTCAAGAAAACACTCTTTTACAAATTCCCCTTCGGTGAAGGGTTTGCATTTTTTAACGATCAGATTGCTGACCTTGAAGGATAATTTGGTTGCATTGTTATAAAGTGCCCTTAGTTTCGCCATCAACTGTTGTTGAGCAGCTAATTTCGATTTAAGTTTTTTGAGCTTAAGTTTACGAATTTCACTTTTGGGTGGAAAATCAGCATCATACTTTTTGCTATGGAGAGCATTATAATGACGTTCCAGATTACCCTTTTTTTGGCAATGACACTGAGGCGTTGCATTTTCCACTATATTGAGGCAATTGTTTTATCTGACACACGTACACAGACACTTTCAAAATTAATAAAATAACGTGGGCAGAGCAGTTACTGTCCCTTTGATTACACTGAGCTCATCCCCAAACTCTATATTTGTTTAATGCACAGCAAAGCAACAAATCTCCACTAACAGTTAATATAATAATACGTCTCACTTGTTAGTTCAACGTACGAGGATTCATAGTTGATAGGAGGGAGGGAACAAAGTGAATCACATGTTCTGTCGATCACTCTTGCATCAGAACACACGCGGCTAACGACAAGTGATGACATAAGAGTTCACGTGATAAGGATAGAGTAGGGACTTCCCCACAGTTCACTTAACACAAGTGTAAAGTAATTTTCACGTAAGCTACATAAGAACAGAAAAACAGGAATGACTAATACATATTTTCCCTTCAAAATATGAATATAATCATATTATATTACAAGTGAATTTACATGCTTTTCACATATAATTTTCTTATAGGCTTATGAGATTGACCAAAAATTGTCCTGCGATCAATGTGTTGAACATGCCTGCCATACACAATTTACTGCCCATGTTTTGGATTCTTATAAGGTATTATATATGTAGGTATGTCAATAAGTAAGTTACAAATGGATACAGAACTTAAGAGTACTGATTTGAAAAATGCTTTTATTTTTCAACATAATCCCCCTGTGCACTGAGGCACTTGTCCCATCATTTCACAAGCCACTGAAAACCAGCAGCATAGTTCTTTGGGCTGCTGTCAGAACCAGGCGGTGACTTCCCTTTCTATAGCTTCATTGTCAGGAAATTTTTCAGCAGAAAGATGATGTTAAATCAGTACTCTTAAGTTCTATATCCATTTGTAACTTACTTATTGACTTACTCTCGTACAATGTTAACAATTTAAAATATACACACAAGAAAATATAAAATGAAATTTAAACAATCATTGCATAGCATGACATGCACTGACAATAGTTCAAAAGAATTGCAACATGCCTGCAATACAATACGCTAAAGAAAAGTGATAACGTGGAATTACTATTATATTACATTTATGCAAAATGTAGTTTATGCAGTTCTGTATTATATATTGTGTCTTGTTGCGCTATGGAGGACGCCCCCCCCCACCAGTGGTGTGCCGAGCGGAGCCGAAGTGAGCCGAGTCCAAGCACGCTGGTCGCTATGCAAAGTGAGTAAACAGCGGTACCCATTACGTAACACAGGACACCGCAGTTGCTAAGTAGCCATAAACAACTCCCAACAGCATTGCTAGGCTATCGGCAAACACGGCAACTAGGCAACAAGGAAGCGAGGCATTTCCCGTTGTCTGGCTGAGGGTTTATAAGGGAACTACACAGCCTACGAAGCAAGTCGAAATGTAGCCGTTGACGAAGACAGTTTGAGTATAGCAGCAGTCATGGAAAGAAGAACTGGACGCATGTGTAATTGTGTAATTGGGAGTGTGTAATACAGAGAGACTTGTATAGCTCTTGTACTGTGAATACGTGTAGACTACTGAGGACAGTGTTAAGAAATTTGTGTGTAGGGTTTGTAAAGTGTGGAAACCCATAACATTGTTGTAATTAATTGTAGCCGAGACTTGTAGGTTGTTAAATAAACCAATTAACAATCCGAATGGCGTCTTCAGTAGTGAAAACGTTACAAAATATTTCTGACAAGATTAATTATACTCACCTGAAACCAACACAATATTTCAAATAGAAGTTCCTTTGTTTCAGAGGAAAATGAGGTTTTAAGTAGAAGCAACCACATCTGCTGTTGGCAGGCCATAGGCAAATTTGGTGGCAGGGATGGATCAAACAGTATGTATGAGAACACAGGACGCAGTAGTTCCAAACTGTTCTGAGCAACACTGCAACCAAACATGTTCTTATGGACTTCTTATGCATTCATTGAACGAAGTGAACAAAGTTAACATATTGTGACATTTGGCTAAAAAGTCATCTGCTGCTAGGTAAACACATGTTGGCAGCAATAGATACGTATGCAACAACAGCAGAGCAGCTGGAAATAATGTTCTCTATGTGGTGTGTCCCAAGGCCATAACGGAACTTAATACATTAAGTTAGTGAGTTGCAAGCCAGCTTCCATCCAGCATGGATGTGAGCATGTAAGCTGAATAGTTAGCAGACGTAACCTAGGGATGCCTAGTGAAGACTAACCAAGCAATGATTAACAAAGTCTATAATAGACTGAGTCTCAGTGGGTGCAGTAGCAATTTGTTAAGTGTGTGCATTAGCTATATCATTATAATTATTTGTAGCTGTGAGTTATGAGTGTTCAATAAATCCAATTATCAATCTAAACCCTGTGTCTAGTCACTACCACATAAAAGTATGAATATTGAAGGTTATGACTGTTTTTCTCCATATTATAGCTCTGTAATTATTGAACAGAATTTGATGAAATTTGATATCACAGACCTAGCAAATGTTATCAAAATTTAACTTTTATGCATACCACTGAAATATAAAAACTACTTTATGTGAAGCTAAAATCAAGCTTCAGTGTTTTCTCAAAAACAAATTTAACCAACAAATTTCTGTATGAAATACAATGTCGATTTAATATCCTCTACTGTTATTTACTTTCCGATATGGAAATAATAACGAAAGACAAAAACAAATAATTCTTATACAGCTTGAATACTTTGGTAACAGTAATACAAACATGTGAAAGTGCCTTATATCCTTACTTTCATTCATAACCTCTCCAGATTTTAAGTACATTATTTAGTAGATAATTCAGTTGACATGTATGAGTATTTAAGTACTGACAGAACAGTTGCTGTCTGGATGAATGGACATGGAGAGCAATGAGGTAGGCAAAATCGCAAGGAACATGTTTGGAAAAATTGTATGACCTACTGCTGTTTAACATGTCCCTTACCACTTTTGTTTTTATGTAGTCAAATCGATTAGAACCACACCTTAGTTTCAGTTCTTGTCGCATTTCTCCAAGCCACCAGGAAATTGCATGAATATCTGAGGTGTGACTTCCAGCTTTTATCAATTAAGATTGCTCTGAATGAATATACCAGTTTTTATGACATCTCAGTATCAGTGGCGGCTCGCAGCTAAAATTAGTGGGAGTGCTGCTGCAGAAGCACACAGTTCCATACAAAGATTTGGCTACTGACATTAAGCTTATGATTATATATTGTATTGTACAAGAATAAAGAAAGAATTAAAGAAACAAAGACCCATTATATAAATGTTATCGATAATATCATGTGGAAGTTGGGGGTGCTCAGTTCCGCAGTGCCTATACATGGGCCGCCCCCGCTCAGTATATCAATCTGGCTAAGGAAAGGATAGCTGAGGTATCACAGTTCAATTCCCAGTAGGTCCAAGATATTTTCTCCTCCTCCACAGTATCCAAACTGGCTCTAGGGTTCACCCAACCTTCTACCCAATTGGTACTGGGGACGATCTTCTCACAGGTGAAGCTGCTGAGTCATGAAGCTAATAACTCACCTATAGCTAGTGCAAAGGTTAAGAATGGTGGAGCCATACCTCCACTCACCCATCTGCCTTCATGAGGTAGTGCTTAATTAAGCACAGGGCAACTTTATCCTTAGCCAAAAATGGTATTACACAAACCTTTCATTTTTGAAAGAAATGTGTTCCTTCAAAGTCTTTTGTAAGCACAACTTTATTAAAACAAAAATAAATTTCCGACAAATTTAAAAGCAATAATTAGAGGGAGGTAACCTGATATAATATTTTGTGGCATATCTGCTCTATGCAGGAACTGTTGAGCCACAGAGGCCTCATGGCAAGCGCGCAGTGGGAGAGTTGCAGATTATATTGGTGCATTGCTAGGTGACAGCTCTGTGAATGCTTGAATTGCTCAACAGTAAGTAGGGGTCACGTGACCTCTGTTTCCATGAGTGACGTCACATACCCTCACCCAGCCCGCTCCTACACAACACCCCCCACACTAGGCTGTGATGTCACGCAACAGTGAAGTCCGTGCCGCGACCATTGCTATACAATCGCTCAGTAAATACGTACCAACAATACAGGCTCTTTTCTGTGTGGTCAGTGCAGAAGCTATACAACGCAATCACTCAGTAAACACATACCAACAATATAGGATGTTTTCTGTGTGGTCAGTGTGGAAGGTACGAGGGTTGGAACTTTAATAGTGGCAACACTGCTGTAGAGATGCCATGTAATGGAACCAAATAATGTCACTTATACCACACATTAGTTACATACCTACCTTACCTCAGAACAAATGGACTCTCCCTTCCCACATCACACGCATGCGCAATGACGAGAAGACCAGAGCATCATGTCAGCTGGCGGTCTAATGTAGTGTTGTCATGATGTTTTCGAAAGAGGAACAACGGAGTTGGATAAATATTGAATGTGCCAGAGGCTGTACAGCATGACATTATCATGAAGGTCTTCAAGAGGCTTGCAGGGAATCTGCATTGCCTTACAGAACAGTGGCAAGGTGGGTAAAAGCCTTCAACGAGGCACGCCAAAATGTGGCAGACATGCGTCAGCCAGGTCGTCCTAGTGTTAGTGAAGAAGTGTATGCTCTTTCCGTGTTACTGGAGAGTGAGCAACACCATACGATTCATGAGCTGGCCCGAGAGACAGGATTAGTGCACATGACTGCACGTCACATTCTGAAGGAATGCCTGGGCATGAGAAAAACTGCATCACGATGGGTTCTGCATGATTTGATGGAAATGCAGAAATGGCACAACACTGCTCATAAAAACTTGGAGCACTATGAGCACGAAGGATAGGCTTTCTTACGCCGTATCATTACACTGGATGAGACATGGGCCAATCATATGGGCCATAAATGAAATGCCAATCGAACGAATGGCATCATTATGGGTCACCACGAAAATCAAAGTTAGTCAGAACCCCAGCAATGTGAAAGTTATGGTGATTCTCGCATACAAATGTGGTGTTATCCTAATGCATACCGTTCCCCAACAGCAGATCATCAATGTGCAGTATTGCTGTTCATTTTTAAACACAACCTGTGACCAGCTTTGAGAAAGAAGCAGAGACACTTTTTGCAGAACCCATCCATCATTTTGCAGGACAATGCTCGGCCACATGCAGCGCAAGCTGTAGCTGATTTGTTCGAATTATGGGGCTCGGAAGTTCTGTACCATTCACCATACTCCCCAGACTTACGCCCTTGTGACTTTGACTTGATTCCTAGGATGAAGGAACCACTTCGTGGCATTCACTTCAGAACTGTTCCAGAGATTCTTCAGGCAGTAGACTGCTCCATTCGAACTATCAACACAACAGGCGCTGCTAAAGGTATCCTACGGTTTCCACATCACTGGCAATGGGCTGTACACAATGCTGGTGACTACACTGAAGGACAGTAAAACTTTGAAACATGCATCTATTTTGTATCTGTTGTAAATAAATAGTTATCATTATTAAGTTCCAACCCTCGCATATAATGACAGTTACAGACAGAACAGAAGGGAGTATTTCGGAGTATCTCAGTTTGGCAGAAGCAACTGAAGTGGAACCAGGAATATAGAAGACTACAGGAGGTCGGTTTCTGAGGATGTAAAGTGTGACTGGAAGATTTCATGTGTAACATTTGTTGTGATTTGAAGTGCTAGTTTCTGTGTTGATATCCATTACCAAGAGCAACAGTGAATTATAAAGTGTATGTAAATCAGTGACAGTGCTGTAATTTGAGTGTAATTAAGAATGAGTGTGTAACTAAGCTGTTAATAAATCCAATGATCCAAACTAGAACCCATCATTTTGTAATGCGTACTCCCATCCATGTGACAATATAGTATATAAATAATAAAGAAGGTAAATATACACTATACATATTGTGATGTGTTGTGTAATGGAGGACACCCCCTCCCTCCCCAGCGGTGGCGTGGCAGCTCTGGCCACGGTGACGTAGCAGGCGAGTCAGCACTATGCCCCCCCCCCCCCNCCCCCGCACTGTGACGTGACACCGCTTCCTACTGTGACGTGGCACGCAACGCCGCTGAGCAGTAAGCGAGAGTTAGTGTGTGATCAGGAGTCAGTGTGTGAGCCGGAGCAACACAGTTAGAAGCTAGCAGCAGTCGCGGAAAGAAGAACCGGATGCATGCGATAATCAGGGATAGTTTGTGATAACTGAGAAGCAATTGGGAGCGTGTAACACAGTGACACTTATATAGCTCCCGTACTGTGAATACGTGTAGACTACTGAAGATAGAGTGAATAGATTATTGCAAATAGGGTTATAAAGTGTGAAACCCAGCAGAGTGAAGAGACTATTGCGAATACGGTTATAAAGTTTGAAACCCCGCAACAGTATTATAATCAACTGTAGTTACGACTTGTAGGTTGTTAAATAAACCAATTAAAAATTCAAATGGCATCTTCAGTTGCAAAACACGCTACAATATAATAAACAACTAATTTTAAATAAAAAGTAGTACTTAAAACAATATACCTATGTCAGAGAAATGGAACAAAAATGCAAAAAGAAACTGATCAGTGCTATTTAACGATAACAGACATTAATTTGGTCATGATTGAAAGTTTATAGCTGAAGTTCTGAGGTTTTGCTTAAAGTACTTTTAGCGTAACTTGATTTTATTGGAGTGAAAAACAAAACAATAATTTAACATCAGGAAAATGAGCGTTAGCATATTCTCCATTTTTTGTTATGCCGTGGTGGCAGGGGGCGTGGAGGTATCCCACAGCTACTGCCACCACTGTTACGCCCCTGCGACAGGGGTGGATTGGTTATCTCACCGCTGTCTCCACTTTTACGCAGTAGTGACAAGGGGCGTGGAGGTGTCCCGCTCTGTCACCCGGTTTAGTATGCTGCCACCATCTTGTTCTGTCAAGAAAACTCAAGTAACTTATCGATCGCTTACGTCACTGGTCCTGGCTTTAACT